CTTATTCTCAATTTTAGAGATCCCAGACTGTCAAGGCAGAATTTTAATTAAATAAAATAAAGAATGAAAAACATTTCTGACAAGCTGGCTGAGAGAAACCAAACCATACATCAATCTTACTAAACTTTGGGGGAACAGGAGAAACTAAAAGTGCAGCTTTCCCCTTGAAAATGGAGAAATCTGCATATGTTCTTCCTGCATAATTTCCTGCAGGTGAAAAGATTAGTGCCCTAGAGAGTTAGTAGAAGTGATGTTTAAAGTAGCAGAGCATTATAAAATAGATTTTTCTTACCGTTATTCATCACTCCAGAACTAGCAGTTGAAAACACATGCTGGGAAGTAAAGTTACTCAACCATGATGCATCGTTAACATTGCAAACTTTTTGAGGCAAAACTCTTCCAGCTAGTTGATTCCTGTTTAGGCAGATATTTTTTTAATCATAAAATCAATTATCTATACCCGAAGAAATAACTATATCACATATGCTCATTGAAATGCAGTGCCGTGTATGCCACACAAACCAAATCAACAAAATGAGGTTCAAATATATAGAGAACCATGAACAAGTTCATTTTGCAGCATCCTGTGTCTCTACCTAAGCCTACCTAAGAGGTCTCAAGAGGCAGAAAAAAGTGTTGAAAAAAGGTGTATAAAACTGAGATGAGGAAAGGCAGAACACAGGAGAGATAACTAGGAGGTAATTAGAGACAACATGCAACATGCATAACTCAGCTACAGTGAGTAGCTAATTCATGAATCCTACATGAAAAGCTAGTAATCATGATGAGCATTAAGCAGTAAGTAATACTTGCACTTTCTTAATTTGTAAACTTTTTCGTATCTATATCACACTCATATCCTAGTTTATAAAAATATGTTATATCTGCAGCTAATCATAGTTATGACCCATATTTACCGAACAAAACCATCAAGGAGGATGTCTAATATAGTTGACCACTAGATGTAATCTAAATTTGATGTTGATTCCCTATTGAAAATTTCCACTCCCCACATTTTGCTTTAATCAATTATATAAATGGTGTCCACTAATTGAATCTAGCCCCACCCTTTTGATTAATTTAAGTATATGTAAGAAAATAACATTCATAAAAGTATATTCTTTTGAACATCATTCTTGGCTTGTACATAATCTCTAGCATATCCTCTTCAATACTTAAGTGTCTGTTTGTGTATAAACTAAAAAGTGTAAACCATTGGATACTGCATAACAGTAAATTATGGCACAGGCTGGGCATAAATATCACTTAGCACCTTCATGCATTTCCTAGAAACTTTATATAGGAAAGGAAACAAGATAGCTAAATTCACCAGAATTAAAGAGGCAATGACTTAAAACAACTACGGCTTGTTGGATTAAGAGTGAGAAAAAGTAAGCAGCATCTTTTAGCACAATATGATATCTGAGCAGGAGTTCAATTCTATCAACAGGGTTCACAAGTCTTCAACCATTAAAGTGATATCACACAAATCAAATCTACCTACTTGCTTATAGACCGACCACTTCGAGTATCTTTGCTACCGAAGGTAAATAGTGTTGGTATCTCTAAATTGACCAACCAAACAAATGAAGAGCGAAAACTGAGAAGGAAATGGAAGTAAAGAGGACTGAAGAGAAAGAGAGAGAGATCGGGGGAGGCAAGGAAAAAAGCCCACAGATTAAGCTAACCTGATTTGTTAAACCAAAAAAAGAAAATGTTGAACTACCTATAAGTTGTTGTGGCTTAATATACCGTAGAACATCTCTAGAACAATTAATTTAGTCAGAGAAAGCTACAACATTTATAGTAGGTATTAGAAACAATTAACATAGTCTAGTCTATATGCAGTTTTCTCAATGCCAATTTATTTGAAGTGATTCAAGTATCTTAGGTTCTCAAGTAATATTATTAGATATATTTGCTATAGTGATTCAATAATTAATTGTACCCTCCTAAGCGAGCGCAAACAAATAATAATAAAAGCAATGACTTTTCAAAATCTTTCCTCTGTCTGTTCGATTTTGGGAAAGGGGGGCGTCGGTTCAATTCCCACAAAAATCTCTCGTTTTCACCTAGGTTTACAATCACTGCCCCTTCTCCCTCTCCTTTCACCTTCTCCCGCCTTCTGTTGTCCGACGACAATCTCCTTCTCCCGCCTTCTGCTAGCCTACGACGCCGTTATTTCTCCCGTGGATTGTAGATGCTCGATCTCCACGAACCAGGTAATTTCTCGACCCGTTGCTATGCTATCTGCTAATTTTCTTCTTAAACGTTGTCATTCTTGTATATAATCTTCAAAAAATTAGAAGATGTCTCTGCCCTAATGGATTTATTCATCTATTATATTCCATGAATTTTTTTTTTATGTTTTTACGAAACTTCCTTGATTTTCAGATAAACTACCATGGACTTCGTACAAACTCTAATAATTATTGTTCTCTTTTTAGTGGGTTGGCTTACTGCTTTATAATGATAACTATCTATTTTTGTGTTCTCTATTGAGCTCATGCTCACTTGGTTGGTTTTCACGGTATAGCTTTTGAACAATTTACATTGGGCTACATGGTCTCATTTGTACTCATGATTCCCTTCTCTTTGCATATTTAACTAATACAGTCCAAGTGGAAAACAATTTATGTCCTGCAAAGAGGTTTCTTCATACATTCTCTCTCTTAATGGACAGCAAGATGTTGGGCAAACAGTTTCTTGGTTATGAATCTCGGCCTTGGTTGGTCAGTTATGGTTGGCTTTTGGTTTCAGTTGTTGCTTGGCTTTTGTTTCAATTGTGTGCATGGTTTTAGCCTTGCTCTCGGCCTTGATTTCAGCTCTTGGGTTGGTTATGAATCTGGTTTCATTTAACTTACATTTGTTGTTTGGCCTTTGTTTCAATTTTATGCATGGTTTCAGCTTTTTTGAATGGTTTAGTCTTGTAGCTGCAATCAACTGTATATTGGCTAATTATGAGTGATACAAACACTAGAAAATGTATTGCTTATTGTGTTGTTGTCATTGTTGTCATCCACATTGTTCATGACTGATTGATATGTTCCAACTGGATTCATATTGGATATGCAGTCATATTGTATTTAAAACTCATGTTTTCATATTTCATCTGTCAAGGATTGATATGTTCCAACTGTCCCATACGTATTATGCATTTATAATTTTTTTTTGCAATAACATGTTTTAAAGCTTATGTGTGGGTAGTGTATTATTAAGTTGGCAAAAGCTATATTAAGTTGGCCTTTGGTTCCAGTCCTTGCTTGTCCTTTGCTTCAATTTTGTGCATGGTTTCAGCCTTGCTCTCGGCCTTGGTTTCAGCTCTTGGGTTGGTTATGAATCTGGTTTCAATTTTGTCCTTTGGTTGGCATTTAGTTTCAGCTCTTAGTTGGCCTTTGGTTGGCCTTTGGTTGGTCAGTTATGGTTGGCCTTTGGTTTCAGTTGTTGCTTAGCCTTTGTTTCAATTTTGTGCATGGTTTCAGTCTTGCTCTCAGCCTTGGTTTGAAGTGCCAAAACTCGATTTGATAGTGTTGTATTTAGAGAACTGCATATGGAAAGCTTGTGATTAAGTGGACTTGTTTCATGTATTAATCTCCAGACCAACGGGAAACCCCCATATTTCTATGGATTTTACAGTTTTTTGGTGTATATGTCATAGTTGGATCATGCCCTTTGATGCAGTCATATTGGATTTGTGTTGCTTATTGTGTTGCTGTCATTGTTGCCATCCTCATTGTTGAAATGGTTGTTATGTCATTGATAATGTGATATTTTGCTATGATGATGGCCGGATATATAATGTATGCAACCAAAGTTTATACTAGTAATCAATTAGCGAGGCAATAAATGCAGCCAACATTGCTATTATACACTTCATGGCGATGCAGATAATGAAGAAAATGGCCTTTTCTGAGCATATTTTCTATAAATTGTGTTAAACTTTGGTTTGATTTCAATCTTGGGTTGTTCGAGTCTTGGTTTCTCTCGAGTTGGTTTCAGCCTTGGTTCAATTTTGGATATTTTTCAGACTTGGTTTGGCCAAAGTTGGTTTGGTTTCAGTCGAGTTGGTTTCAGACGAGTTGTGTGCTTGTCTTCTGAATTTTCAGGCAATGTGTGCTTGCCTTATGAATTTGTAGCCAATTGAGTGCATTACATTATATTTTGCGTGCCTATATTTTTGGTATTAATATTTTGTCTTATATGGGTGGTAATCACACCATGGTGACCACAATCAAGTTTTCTTGATTTTTTAGTTTGAACCAAACACTAGAAAATGAGGGAATCTATTCACATATCAATTTTTTTTTCAAGTTGAACCAAACTAAGAAAAATGGTGAAAAGTACTTTTAGACCATATTTTTTGGTGAAACAAACACAAGAAACACTTTCTATGAAAGTGAAGAAACACAAAAAATGAAGGAAAATGAGTTTTGGAAAATAAAGGAAACGAACCAAACAGGCCCTGAGATTCCACAAGACTAACACTGAAAATTGAAGTTCATGATAAAATTTAAAAAAATTGGTGGGATTTTCATAATTTGTCAAACAAATCTGCTAATAGTACTGGCCACGGTAAAAAAAAAAGTTTTACAAACTATGATAACTACCAAATTTGGTTTTTTGGGGGGGTTGGGGGTGGGGGGTTTGGGATATTTATCATTTCAACCAGCATTTCAATAAGAATGACAACAATAACAATAATCGTAGCAAAATTAATGGAAAACTCTAGTTAAAAGAGTCTTACGCTCCTTGCAACAGAAATCTAAGAACTGGAAAAGACCATTTCAAAAAGTACAATCTAAGATTTGAGCAAAATCTACCAGAATAATAAAAGGGCACGGGATCGGCAAAGATAGAGGAAGAGAGCAAGGGATTTGGATGAGGAAGTAGTAGTTAGGGTTTAGGGTTTTAAGATTTTGCTTGCCTGTGAACTAAGAATCGAGAGAAATTCAGCATCTTTGCGATTCTTGCACAAGAAAAACCCAGCCCTTTTTTTTTAATTACTTGCCAGTTTGATTGCGAAAATGATGAAGAGTCGCGTTTATGAAGGAAAAGAGGCCTTCAGCTGCAACGAAAGGAAGCAGTCCTCATCGTAGCGTAGCGCTCAGCTGTCGTAGCGTAGCGCTCAGCTGCAATGTTGTAAGGCCCCACGGCAGCCCATTTGATAAACTGCTGGGCACCCTGACAAAAACCAGGCCCAAGTTGTATACTTAACCAAATCAGAGTTGGTTCAGGCAGGAGATCAATTTTTGACCTAGTTTTGACTGGGGGTGGCAAACGGGTCGGGTAGGGTCGGGTCATAGTTGACCCCACCCGTATAAGTGTGACCTGACCCGACCCGTTTAATAAATGGGTCAATGCGATCCGACCCGTTTATTAAACGGGTTACCCGACCCGTTTATTAAACGGGTTACCCGACCCGTTTATCAAAGCTCACTTCAAGATGTCAATGAATTCCTTCTTTGCTTCCTCATCTCCCTTGAGTTTCCATATAGCCTCGTGCTGCATTCGTATATCTGATGGTATAATAAGAATGTAGAGATATCAGCAAACAGAAATGATATCATTCAGAACCAAAAATTCGGCTCCAACAGATTCAGATTTGCTTCTATACTCAAATCGTGGCATAGAATCATTCTGGCATCCAATCTTGAACCAAGGTGAGATGAGACAAATATATAAGGGAAAACACACAATTATTATGCTACCTATATCTCAAATACAAAGGGCCCAAGAAATGCATCTAGCATACATATTCACCAGCAATGTGCCAAGCAGTCAAGCACCACATCAACATCAAAACCGTTGTCCAATATACCCATCTGCCCACTTACCCAAACCCAACGAGGCACTCTGTGAACAAGCAGCCAAGACCCCAACCAAAGTCACCGAATCAGGCACAACCCCCTTCCTCATCTCAACAAACACCTCAATCGCCCTATCAGCAAATCCATTATGCTCGTACCCAGAAATCATTGCATTCCAAGCAACCACGCTTCTCTAAAGCATTTTATCAAACACCAATCTTGTGTATCCAAGCTCCCCACATTTCGCATAGAAAACAACCAATCAAGTCTGAACATAACAATCAGAACCAAACCCAGCAGTGACTACCTGGGCATAAACAATTCTGCTGATACTCGAAGCTGATACATTGGCGCAAGTTTTGATTACAGAAGTGAAGGTGTAATTTGACGGCGGGAGACGATGAGAGCGAATTTGGGTGTCAAAGAGGAGGGAGTGAAGGGAGAAGTAGGATCTGGAGGAGGTTCTGATGATGAAGTCAAAGAGGAAGGAGTCGGGATTTAGGATCGAAGAGAGGAGGTTGCCTCCGCTTGTTCATCGTCACTCGTCCTCTAGCCGCTAGCCGCCGCTCAAGCTTAGTGATGAGAAATCCAGGGATTTTCCTCTACAACGCGTTTATGAATTGTGAGAGACGATTGACGAATGGTTGATGCTAGCGGTTCATTTGGTATTGGGTTCATGGGTTGGTGTTTGTGTTATACGGGTCAGTTCAGGTCAACCCGAATTGACCTATTTAATAAATGGGTTAGTTCTGATTGACCCGTTTATAACCCGACCATGTAACTTGACTCTACCCCTTATAAACGGGTCGGGTCGGGTCGGGTGGGTGAGTCGGGTCATAAATTGTCACCCCTAGTTTTAGAGGCTAAAAGTAACCTAAGAAAAAGTTGGGCCAGAGTTACCCCAATTTTCTCCAAACACAAAATTGACTAAAACTGGGTCAGCTTTGAATCTAGCCTAATTTTAGTGGGTTGCCAAACAGCCCTTATGTGTGTGTTTTGCATATTCATAAAATATATTTTAGATTGTACAATCTTAGTCCAATACTTTATTTTTAGTTTTGGCAAAAGTTGAGTCCACATAGCTTGAGAATTAGTTATTTTGTAGACTAACTCTTATTTAGCCCTACTTTGGACTAGTTAAAATAAAACTAGCCCAATTTGAAGTTGTCAAATGCACCCTAAATTTAATCTCTAAGGAGCACTAATTAATTGGAACATTTTACTAGAATTGATAAAATATTGTGATGCAATAATTTTTGAAGTAAGATATTATAATGGGGTACTTAGAAATAATTTTTTGAAGCAAAAAATCTAGATAATATAATACGAGATAAGTTGTGATAAATAAGAAGTATATAAATTATATATCTTGATGATATAACAAAAATTACTTATATATTTTAAACTTATTGTCATAATTTATAATTGGTTACTATAATGTTAATTAATCTTGAATAAATATTAGTACAATGTAAGGCATTTTAAATAATTATTATGATAATAATTTGAAACTTTTTTATTTTTTTAATAATTATTATACTACAAGCATAACAAAATTACAGTTTTCTTATTTCTTTCTTTTCTCACTATGATAAAAGTCTTTCCCTCGCCTCTCAATGTTACTTATTTTTTGATAAATTATGGATTTTAGAAACCATACTTTCAATTAATTATTAAATTTTAATATTTAGTTAAAAGAAAATATATATATACTACTGTTATGGTATTCTCAGTCGTCAAAGTACGACAATTTACCAACAACGGACAGGTGTCCCCTTACATTAACTGCTAAAACCAGATTGACGGTCAGGGCAACCGAGGATCCCAACTTAGCCAACCCGCTGAGTCGACATCTCCTTAGGCCAACTCGAAAGGTGGTATTTATTGGTCCTCTTGTCGAAGACGACTTGTTACGAACCCACTCGACCAATTATTTGATGCCTCGCGAGGTCAATTCAAAAGGCGTTACTTCTCAGCCAAGGTAAAGGATGACTTCAGCCTCGAGCCTCTCCCGCTAACAGTATGTCGGCGTCACATTTAATGCTTAGCAGGCGCATCATACATCTAGCCCCGATAGTCTTCATGACTCATCGGACCACGTCAGTACCGTCATGCATCCGATCACTTCACATAAAAATACTAAGGTGATCTCTCCTCCACTCACCGACCAGCACGTGTAAAGTATGTTGTGTCACAGCCGCCAGCCCATACCTATTTACCACCATCCTGTGCTCAACCAAAGTGACCGTTCTACCCTCTCAGTACCACTATTAATAGAGGTACTATTCTCAATATAAAGAGGACTTTTTCTGCTAAGCAATTATAGAGGCCATTTTCCCATGTAATATCTGCAAATTATAATTGTACTGCACTAAGGCCCCGTTTGGTACACGGGAATGGGGTGGAATGGAATGTCATTCTCACTTCTCATTCCCTTATACCAAACAAAACTTGTTTTTAGATGTTGGAATGATCATTCCCATGGAATGACCATTCCCATTTTTTGTGGGAATGAGCATTCCAAGTGAGAAGATAGGGAATGATCATTCCCATTCAAGGGAGAATCAAATTAGTTAAGTTTTTTTAATTATACCCCTATTAATAATAAGAATCAATTTAAAAATCATGGCTTTTGACAACATAATAAGAATTTTTTACGGGGTAGGGATTAAAACTAGTAGTACATATTTTAGTAGCTTATTAAAACTAACGGTACATATTTCATTAGCCTATTATATCACAATTGCTCAACATAGGAGCAACACAATTTAATATAAAAACAAATACAACTGAAATTATATATTATTTGCCGATTGAAATTCTTTCATGTCAATATTTTTTTTAGTCAATCAAATTTTTTTGTTTATTCACCAATGTTTAAAGTCTGTTATTTTCACCAGCATATTATATTCTTTTTGAACTTTTTCTATTGTTTTCCCACCATAGAGAACTATATGTACCCATTGCGTATATGTTTGATTATGGTTCATGCACAATAATAAATCTAACTTTTGATTAAAAAATATTTGACCCAATATTTATGAAAAGAGGAAACTCTCGCTAAGAAATTGGCGAAAATATTAAAATTATCAAAACCATATCATGTCTAAACTATATATAGAGGTATAAGGGCATTATTATAACACATACCTAGATTAATATAATATATGCAGAAATAGTAAGAATTGTTTAAAAATATAAACGAAACATACACCTGATCGATAACATGCGCATTAGTATAACATATACCTAGATTAATATAACATATGTATAAATAATTTTTTTTAGTTATTATCATTAATGTTTATTTTTATCATACCTAGATTAATATAACATATGTATAAATAATTTTTTTTAGTTATTATCATTAATGTTTATTTTTATCTTATTAAAAATCTATGTTGTTATATATAAATAATTTTTTTTAGTTATTATCATTAATGTTTATTTTTATCTTATTAAAAATCTATGTTGTTATTATCATTAATGTTTTATCATTAAAAATCTATGTTGTTATCATTAAAAATCTATGTTGTTATTATCATTAGTTATTATCATTAATATAACATATGTATAAATAAATTTTTTAGTTATTATCATTAATGTTTATTTTTATCTTATTAAAAATCTATGTTGTTATAAGGGCATTATTAGAAAATAAGATTCCATTCTCACTTGTGAACTAGTGATACCAAACATGGGAATGAGAATTAGATTTTCATTCTAGCTTCATTCTACAAACGCATCCAAACAAGAGAATGAGAATGACTATATGTGTGATACCAAACATGGGAATGAGAATTAGATTTTCATTCTACTATATGTATATATGTATATATATATCTATATATATGTGTGTGTATGTATGTATGTATGTATGTATGTACACACACACACACACACACACACATATATATATATATATATATATATCTGTGTGTGTGTGTGTGTGTGTGTGTGTGTATGGGTGGTTATATCGAGTGAAA